GATTGACACCAGGTTACTGCTAGGTTAGGTTGCCCTTATGCTACGACAACCTGTGTACACAGGGTCCCATAAAGGCGACCCAACCTGGATCATGCAAGGCTACCAGTGTTCCTTGGTCGACGTGTCTCGCCCAAGTTGGGTAGATATTTACCTTGGTCTCGCCTATGTCTATGGTAGGGGGCTCAGACAAGCCTCGGCACCCAGCCCTTGCCAGCATCAGTCTCTAGCAGTGACAGACAGCCTTTAGTGTCATCACATAGCCCTTACTAGCTGTACACATCTAGCTACTTATAAGCCCCTTAGAAGCATCATGTAGATCTTAGGGGAGAATCAATCAGCCTCCCCACACACACAGAGAGCTCTTAAGAGCCTCACACATCCCCAAGTTGCCACAAACATCACATATCCCCTTGAAGACACACTGCCTTGTAATTAATTTTTAATATGTATAACATTTGAAAAACAAAAACAAAATACAATTACAAAAGTTTGTCCAGAAGAAAAATTCATTGGTTACAAAGTAAGTTGTGAACACGTAATAAATAACTAACTGATAATTAAGGTAAACTCTTAAACTGTCATCTTTTATTTCAGTGCTGTGCCAGCTAGAGTAAAACATTGTGTTATACAAATGAAGATGAAAATACTGTACAAAATATCGTAACTTTAACAATGTTATGACATTGTTGACTTATTTTGTACTTCAGTTTTATTTCCACTTGTATAACTATCTATTTCACTCTTGCTGGCACTGGATTAAAAGATGCTAGTTTAAGAATTTACTGTAATTTTCAGTTCTTATTAAATCATTACAACTTGCTTGTAACATTATGTCACAAGTTCTCTGCATTTCAATTTTCAATTTCAATTGTTTATTCCTTGATAGAGGAAGCGGGATCCTAGTGCTGTCACTAGGTACCCTGTACAATAACACCAGAAGCATCTGGCAAGTGTGACAAGTATATACAGTATAAATATTACAAAGGGGCTTACGAAAGCTTAAGGAAGGAAGGATATTCCTTTAACACATAATCAATGTTATTTACATAATATCTGGCCAGTATGGGGAGGATCATCGTGTCTCCGTCAGGGGGTCGTGGAGTGGTGGTCCAGCAGGCGTCATGAAAGCGTTGTGTGTGGAGACATCTTAGGAGGTAGTGGATATTTCTCTGCATTTTAAGTTTTTAAGTGAGCTGAAGTCACTTTAGGCATTCCATTGGTGGACCACAGCTGTGACGTCACCACTAGTAGTCTACGTCAAAGGTAGAACAGACCACAAGAGCAATGACGTCATCACCAGTAGTCTGCCTCATCGGTGAGACAGAAGCCCTTCACTTTACACCTCACAATCAGTCCTTCCCTCACCCTTACACCTCAGAGGGAGACCTTCCCTCACTCCTACACCTCATTGAGTCCTTCCCTTACTCCTAAGCATCAACGTGACTCCTTCCCACACTCCTACACATCACCGTGAGTCCTTCCCACACTCCTACACATCACCGTGAGTCCTTCCCTCACTCCTGCACATCACAGTGAGTCCTTCCCACACTCCTACACATCACAGTGAGTCCTTCCATCATACTAAACAACGCTGCCTGTCTTTCCTTCACTCCTACAAAACACAGTAAGTCATTCCCTCAATCCTACACAACACATTGCACCCTACCCTCACTCCCATACACCGCAAGTCCTTCCCTTATCCTATACAACATTGCATGTCCTTCCCTCACTCCTATAAAACACTGCAAATCCTCCTCTCACTCCTTAGTAGGTCAGTAAGTCCTCCTCTCACTAATTAGCAGGTCAGTAAGTCCTCCTCTCATTCATCAGGAGGTCAGCAAGTCCTTCCCTCATTTACGAACATCACTACATGTCCTTCCCTAGTTCCTATACAACAATACAAGTCCTTCCCTCATTCCTACACAATACTGAAGTCCTTCCCTTAATAATACACATCGCAGTGAGTCCTTCCCACACATCACAGCGAGACCTTCCCACACTCCTACACATCACAGTGAGTCCTTCCCACACTCCTACACATCACAGTGAGTCCTTCCCTCACTCCAATACAACACAATGAGTCCTTCCCTCATACTACACAACATTGCATGTCCTTCCCTCACTCCTATAAAATACTGCAAATCCTTCTCTCACTCCTTAGGTCAGTAAGTCCTCCTCTCACTCCTTAGTCCGTCAGTAAATCCTCCTCTCACTAATTAGCAGGTCTGTAAGTCCTCCTCTCATTCATTAGGTCAGCAAGTCCTTCCCTCAATACTACATGTCGTTCCCTCAGTCCTACAGTAATCAGTAGATAAACTTTCTGTATGTATATTATGTATGCTGTATGTATATTATGTATGTATATTATGTATGTGCTCCATTTATATACACTATTTATTCAGCCTAGCTAGCAGCGTGTGGCAATGTATTTACCATGTCCCACACGCTTAATTAATGTGGCTGGCGACATATGGGAGCTGCTAATGTATCACTTACCACATGTCGCCTCGAGGCTAGTTGACCCCCCAGACAGAGTAAGGAGCGCCACCTCCCTTGTGTACATATCTGTTTATCCAGTAAATAGAACCTACGAAAACTCCACAGGTGTTTGTGTTCGCTCCTGTAGATAGAACTTGATACCCAGAACACGTACACTTTCAATACAGCGTTATAATCTATTTTAGCATTTATAAAGACTTGTGAACCAACAGTAAATATTATACACAATACAATTTCCTGTCATGTCGGGTAGACTGACTTATTTAGGATATATTCATCTTTTTCTGTACACAGACATTAGGAGCATCAATTAACCCCCTCAGTCACAAGTACAGTAGCTCTCTAAGAGCCTCACACATCTCCAAGTTGATATTCACAATATAGCCACAAGCAGCCGCTGGTTGGATCAGACTAACCCTGACAACCTTACATAGTCCTTAAATCCATTATACAACCACCTATGATCATCACACAGCCCTAATTAGCCAAACAGTCCGTGGCGGCGGCAAATAAGCCCTGGGGGCCTCACATAGACCCCTAGGAAATACAAACTTCCTCAGAACATTTGCAACAAATACAATCTTTTTTTTTTTTTTTACAATTTCAAAAGTTTGCCCACAGGAAATGCTCATTGGTTACAAGTAAGTTGTAAAGCTGTAATAATTATTTAATTTTACAGTAAAATCTTAAACTAACATCTTGTATTTCACTGCCAGGAAGATTAAATATTTTGTTTTCCAAATGAAGATGAAACTAAAGTCCAAAATAATTAAGTTGAACAAAATACTTCCTGACTGTCTAGTTACAAATCCACATAAAAGATTACAACAGTGTATTAGAGGTTATAGGCTTCGCAACGCCACAAGTCTATATGGTCACTCCTATACAAGTCCTTCCCTCACTCATACACAACACTACAAGTTCTTCCCTCACCCCTACACCACACTACAAGTCCTTCCCTCACTCCTACACCGCACTACAAGTCCTTTACTCACTCCTACACCACACTACAAGTCCTTCCCTCACTCCTAGCCCACACAAGTCCTTTACTCACTCCTACACCACACTACAAGTCCTTCCCTCACTCCTACACAATACTACAAGTCCTTCCCTCAAACCTACACCACACTACAAGTCCTTCCCTCACCCTACCAATACACTACAAGTCCTTCCCTCACTCCTACACCCACACTACAAGTCCTTCTCCCCACATACACCACACTACAAGTCCTTCTCTCACTCCTACATCACATTTACAAGTCCTTCCCTCACTCATACAATGCACTATAAGTCCTTCCCTCACTCCTACACCACACTACAAGACCTTCCCTCACTCCTACACAACCCTGCAAGTCCTTCCCAGACTCCTATACAACCCTGCATGCCTTTCCTTAACTCCTACACAACCCTGCAAGTCCTTCCCTCACTCCTACACAACCCTGCATGTCCTTCTTTAACTCCTAGACAACCCTGCAAGTCCTTCCCTCACTCCTACACAACAGTGCAAGTCCTACCCTCACTTCTACACAAAATTGCAAGTCCTTCCCTCACTCCTACACAAACCTGCTAGTCCTTCCTTCCACTCCTACACACAAGTCCTTCCCTCACTCCTACACAACCCTGCAAGTCCTTCCTTAACTCCTACACAACCCTCCATGTCTTTCCTTAACTCCTACACAACCCTGCAAGTCCTTCCTTCACTCCTACACAACCCTGCAAGTCCTTCCCTCAGTCCTACACATTAATACAAGTCCTTCCCTCACTCCTACACCACCCTGCAAGTCCTTCCCTCACTCCTACACAATACTAGAAGTCCTTCCCTCATTTCTACACAACACTGCAAGTCCTTCCCTTACTCCTACACAATACTAGAAGTCCTTCCCTCATTTCTACACAACCCTGCAAGTCCTTCCCTCACTCCTACACATCACAGCGAGTCCTTCCCTCACTCCTACACATCACAGTGAGTCCTTTTCTCACCCCTACACCTCAGGGAGTCCTTCCTTCACTCCTACACATCACAGTGAGTCCTTTCCACACTCTTGCACAACACTGCAAGTCCTTCTCTCACTCCTACACAACACCACAAGTCCTTCCCTCACTCCTACACCACACTACAAGTCCTTCCCTCACTCCTGCACCACACTACAAGTCCTTCAATCACTCCTACACCACACTACAAGTCCTTCCCTCACTCCTGCACCACACTACAAGTCCTTCCCTCACTCCTGCACCACACTACAAGTCCTTCCCTCACTTACATAATATTGCTTGTTCTTTCCTCACTCCTACAGTGCTACAGTATCTCTACAGTAGTCAGTAGATAAGATTTCAACACACTGATATAATCTGTTGTAGTATTTATGTGGACGTATTTAACCAACACTTACATATATACAATACAACTTCCTGTCATGTGTGGTAGACTGAGTTATTTAGAGAATGTTCATCCTTTACTGTACTCTTGATCGTTTCTCTTGTCCATCTTGATGTTGCCTCGTCATCTGTACACCAAGTTATGGTCCTCATCCTCCCTGGAGTAGTATTTTCTGTTAATACCTGTGAAATTAAAATTTTATTAACCAAAAATAGTTTTTTTTTGTATATATTGCAGGGCGACAAGAATTAAAATCACTCTTTCTTCATACTGTTATGCCAGCACTCCTCTTTATCAAGAATTTACCACTAGTCAAGTCACACGAGTGGTCACAACAACAAGCAGGGTAAACACTATAATGACTCTTATATTATCTCCACCAGATTCTCAATAATAACCCTCAGATTAACTCAAAATATAGGTATCATGTTGAAGATGAATCATGAAATGCATAACTTAGCATTATAAAGTTAAGAGACCACAAACAAAGGTCAAGTAAAGGAACAATTTAAGTACAGTACAGATGACCACAGCCTAAATTAACCCAAACCCGAACCTCAGCCTCACCATACACTAGAAAAGTACAAAAGTATACACCACTTATCTCCATATAAATATATCCTGAGTCCAGACCAATTGTACCACACTTGCACCACACACTATCACCAGCCAGGCTCGTCTACCTCCCTGCACTTGCCGTGACCCACACAATGTGGATACCATGCCGCCAATTACCATACTATTTTACCTAACAAATGCACAACGTTAAGCTGATTTACTTATTACATACTTACTATAAATTAATATATATAACATACTAGACAATGTTTACATACAGGAACATATATAAAATATAGTCCTACCAACTGAAGAAGCAGTGTAATTACCTCTCAATCAAATATATTCAGTGCCTTATAAAACTCCCTCCCCAAAGATAAAACACTTGTGTTTTATTTTCAGTCTGGTGAATGAGATAGAGCATTTGCTACGAAATTCTCTCACTCCTACACAACATACCAAGTCCATCCCTCACTCCTACGCAATACTACAGGTCCTTCCCTCACTCGTAAACAATATACCAAGTCCTTCCCTCACTCCTACACAACATACCAAGTCCTTCCCTCACTCCTACACAACATACTAAGTCCTTCCCTCACTCCTACACAACATACCAAGTTCTTCCCTCACTCCTACACAACATACCAAGTCCTTCCCTAACTCCAACACAATACTACAAGTACATCCCCTCACTCCTACACAATACTACAGTCCATCCCTTGCTCCTACACGACACTGCAAGTTCCCTCCTCCTACAAAACTACAAGTCCTTCCACCTCTATACTATACTACAAGTCCTTCCCTCACTCCTACACAATACTACAAGTCCTTCCCTTGCTCCTACACAACACTGCAAGTCCTTCCCTCACTCCTACACAAAAGTATATGTTTCTTCCTCACGCCTACACAAACTTCAAGTCCTTCCCTCACTCCTACAATACTACAAGTCTTCCTCACTCCTACACAATACTACAAGTCCTTTCCTCACTCCAACACAAAACTACAAGTCCTTCCCTCAATCTACGAAACACAAGTCCTTCCCTCCTCCCACATTACTACAAGTCCTTCCCTCATTCCTACACAAAACTTCAAGTCCTTTCCTCACTCCTACACAAAATTCAAGACCATCCCTAACTCTCACAACATTCATAGTCCATCCTCTCCCATACAACATGCCAAGTCCATCCCTCACTCCTACACAATACTCCAAGTCCTTCCCTCACTCCTACACAATACTACAAGTCCTGCCCTCACTCCTACACAAAACTACAAGTCCTTCCCTCACTCCTACACATAACTACAAGTCCTTCCCTCATTCCTACAAAACTTCAAGTCCTTTCCCCACTCCTACACAACTTCAAGACCATCCCTCTCCTACACAATACTACAAAGTCACTCCTCTCCTACATAACTACAAGTCCTTTCTCCTCCCTACACAAAACTTCAAGACCATCTACTCCTACACAACATACTAAGTCCATCCCTCACTCTCACACAACATACCAAGTCCTTCCCTCACTCTACACAACATACCAAGTCCATTCCTTACTCTACACAACATATCAAGTCCATCCCTCACTTCTACACAACATACCAAGTCCATCCTACTCTACAAAACATACAAGTCCATCCGTCACTCCCCAATCCTACAGTCCTTCCCTGTCTACTACAAGTCCTTCCCTCATTCCTATGCGATACTACAAGTCCATCTCACTCCTACAAAACATACCAGAGTCCATCCCTCACTCCTACACAATACTACAAGTCCCCCTCCTCTACACAATACTACAAGTCTATCCTCACTCCTACAAAAGATGCCAGTCCATCCTCACTCTTACAACACTTACCAATTCCTCTCTCTAGCATACCAAGTCCTTCCCTCATTCCTACACAAAACTTCAAGTCCTTTCCTCACTCCTACACAAAAATTCAAGACCATCCCTAACTCCTACACAACATTCATAGTCCATCCCTCTCTCGCACACAACATGCCAAGTCCATCCCTCACTCCTACACAATACTCCAAGTCCTTCCCTCACTCCTAAACAATACTACAAGTCCTGCCCTCACTCCTACACAAAACTACAAGTCCTTCCCTCACTCCTACACATAACTACAAGTCCTTCCCTCATTCCTACACAAAACTTCAAGTCCTTTCCTCACTCCTACACAAAACTTCAAGACCATCCCTCACTCCTACACAATACTACAAGTCCATCCCTCACTCCTACACATAACTACAAGTCCTTTCCTCACTCCTACACAAAACTTCAAGACCATCCATAACTCCTACACAACATACTAAGTCCATCCCTCACTCTCACACAACATACCAAGTCCTTCCCTCACTCCTACACAACATACCAAGTCCATTCCTTACTCCTACACAACATATCAAGTCCATCCCTCACTTCTACACAACATACCAAGTCCATCCCTCACTCCTACAAAACATACGAAGTCCATCCGTCACTCCTACACAATCCTACAAGTCCTTCCTTCATTCCTATGCAATACTACAAGTCCTTCCCTCATTCCTATGCGATACTACAAGTCCATCCCTCACTCCTACAAAACATACGAAGTCCATCCCTCACTCCTACACAATACTACAAGTCCTTCCCTCACTCCTACACAATACTACAAGTCCATCCCTCACTCCTACAAAAGATGCCAAGTCCATCCCTCACTCTTACACAACATACCAAGTCCTTCCCTCTCTCCTACACAGCATACCAAGTCCTTCCCTCACTCCTACACAACATACCAAGTCCTTCCCTCACTCCTACACAACATACCAAGTCCATCCCTCACTCCTACACAACATACCAAGTCCATGCCTTACTCCTACACAACAAACCAAGTCCATCCCTCATTCCTACACAATACTACAAGTCCTTCCTTCATTCCTATGCAATACTACAAGTCCTTCCCTCATTCCTATGCAATACTACAAGTCCATCCCTCACTCCTACAAAAGATGCCAAGTCCATCCCTCACTCTTACACAACATACCAAGTCCATCCCTCACTCCTACAAAACATACGAAGTCCATCCGTCACTCCTACACAATACTACAAGTCCTTCCTTCATTCCTATGCAATACTACAAGTCCTTCCCTCATTCCTATGCGATACTACAAGTCCATCCCTCACTCCTACAAAACATACGAAGTCCATCCCTCACTCCTACACAATACTACAAGTCCTTCCCTCACTCCTACACAATACTACAAGTCTATCCCTCACTCCTACAAAAGATGCCATGTCCATCCCTCACTCTTACACAACATACCAAGTCCTTCCCTCTCTCCTACACAGCATACCAAGTCCTTCCCTCACTCCTACACAACATACCAAGTCCTTCCCTCTACACTCTTACACACAACATGTCCTTCCCTCACTCCTACACAACATACCAAGTCCTTCCCTCACTCCTACACAACATACCAAGTCCTTCCCTCACTCCTACACAACATACCAAGTCCATCCCTCACTCCTACACAACATACCAAGTCCTTCCCTTACTCCTACACAACATACCAAGTCCTTCCCTCACTCCTGCACAACACATCAAGTCCTTCCCTTACTCCTACACAATACTGCAAGGCCATCCCTCACTCCTACACAACATACCTAGTCCATCCCTCACTCTTAAACAACAAACCAAGTCCTTCCCTCACTCTTACACAACATACCAAGTCCTTCCTTAACTCCTACACAATACTACAAGTCCATCCCTCACTCCTACACAACATACCAAGTCCTTCCTTAACTCCTACACAATACTACAAGTCCATCCCTCACTCTTGCACAACATACCAAGTCCTTCCCTCACTCCTACACAACATACCAAGTCCTTCCCTCTCTCTTACCCAACATACCGAGTCCCTCCCTCACTCCTACACAACATACCAAGTCCTTCCCTCACTCCTACACAACATACCAAGTCCTTCCCTGCAGAGTTAATCACCATCTATTAAGTCTCTGATTCTTGTTTTTCATTCGACTTCTGAACTGTAATAAATTATGGTCACTGTAAAATACAATTCTCTGGTAGGTGTTGCCAAGATATATGTTAAACTTTTCCAGTGCCATAAGCAGTCACAGCTTCTTTCTCTATTATATAAGTCGTTTGCGAGGGAAATGTCATAAAAGTAAAGGGTCTTAGAATTGTCTAAATTATTGATTGTCCACAAAAAGTGAACAAGGAGCACGTTTTGCTCATCATAATTTTATCCGTCATTCAAGCTGACCATATCGTCAAACAGAGAAGCAGTGAAAACAAGGGGTGTTTAGTTTGTGGTATAGCGGTAACACACGTATCTCTCACCAATATCTCAATGGTTCGAATCCTGCTTCACTACTTGACCCAGCACGCGTGAGAAGGGGCTTATCAGTGTGACCCTCACTCCCAAACATCACAGGTTTTCCGCACACCGGTTCTCTCCTGTACTAACTCTGGATACACCAACCGCCCGAACTGCAAGTAAACTGATAAATGGTAAAATAACAAATAAAAACAATAAGCCACTAGTGCATGTGGTGGGCATAAAGTAAAAAAAAAAAAGCATTACAAAAGAAAAACAATGGTGAGAAAACAGCCCAAGCAAAGTTTTTCAATGACGACATTGGTAGAGGGAAGTATGGAGAAATAGAGTGCAGCAATGTGTCGGGAGGAGACGAAACAGAAATGAAGGAGCTGATTCTGTCTACAAAAGGTTTGTGTTGACCAGGACAGTACAAAAGAAAAGAATTTAAATGGCACACACACACACACACACACACACACACACAACATAACATAACATAACATAACATAAGAACATAAGAACATAAGAAAATAAGGAATCTGCAATAGGCCGGTTGGCCTGTGCATGGCAGCTCCTGTCGAGAGTTACTACCACTCTCTATCATCCATGAATCTATCTAGCCTCCTTTTGAAACTTTCCAGAGTTCCCGCACTTACTACAAAGTTGCTAAGCTTGTTCCACTCGTCCACCACCCTATTTGTGAACCAATTTCTTCCTATCTCCCTCCTAAACTTATCCAACTTGAATCCTTTGCTCCGAGTCCTATCCTGCTCGGATATTATAAGAACTTTATCTATATCCCCTTTATTGATTCCCTTCACCCACTTAAATACTTCTATCATATCTCCCCGCACTCTTCGTCTCTCTAGGGAATGCAAGTATGTTTCTTTAACCTATCCTGATATGGAAGGTTTCTAAGTCCCGGAATCATTTTTGTCATTCTCCGCTGCACCGACTCTAGTGAATTTATATCCCTATAATAGGGGCACCAGAACTGAACCGCATAATCGAGGTGCGGCCTGACTAGCGCAAGATATAGTTGCAATAAGACCTCTGCACTCTTGTTACTTACACTTCTAGATATAAAACCCAATACTCTGTTTGCCTTATTTCGAACATTAACGCACTGTTTTCCAGGCCGTAGGTCCGGGCTTACAAGTACCCCTAGGTCTCTTTCACAAGTCGACTTCTCTAGGTTGATGTTGTTAAGGCTGTATACATTATCAGTATTTGTTCTTCCAATATTAAGTACACACACACACGATTCAAAAGAACATAACCATACCTGTATTTATAGATAAGAAGCATAACATGTGTACAGCTTTATGACGCAGAGAAGAGTCTAATAAACAATAGGGCTTCAGTACTCACCTCATAATGATGGTATTGTACTGACGTGGGAGGGAGTAGGTGGTGTTAGGGACTACTGCTGGTGGTGGTGGGTGGTAAGTGATGGTGGTGGATGGTGGTAGGTGATGGTGGTGGATGGTGGTAGGTGATGGTGGTGGATGGTGGTAGGTGATGGTGGTGGATGGTGGTGAGTGATGGTAAGTAGGTAATGGTGTGGTAGGTGGTGGTAAGTAAGTGAGACAGTGGTAAGTGGTGGCAAGTAGAGTGACAGAGTACTAGGTGGTGGTAAGTGACAGAGTAGTAGGTGGTGGTAAGTAGGTGGCAGTAGTAGGTGGTGGGTAGGTTGGTGAGACAGTAGTAGTAGTAAGTGATGGTAAGTATCACCTACTTACCATCACTTACTACTACTGTCACCAACTTACCAACATTTACAACTCTGTCAGTTACTTACCACCACCTACTACTACTGCCACCTACTTACCACTACCTACCACACCATTACATACTTACCATCACTCACCACCATCCACACCATCACCTACCACCATCTACACCATCACCTACCACCATCTACACCATCACCTACCACCATCCACACCATCACCTACCACCATCCACACCATCACCTACCACCATGACACAAACACATCTTCACTACTAAGGCCTCACACCGCCTCCACTCCTTGGCTAGACACAAAGTACTTCACTGTACTGTATTAATACCTGAACACTTTTAAATACAAATAAATAAGTAAATAAATAAATGGGAGAAGTCTTGTTGAGAGAATCTTTTGGGCTTACAGAGATCGAGCGTGCCAGTAGAAGTGTCAAAAATTAATGTAATGAGGCACTAGGCACTTTATGCTGGGTGTTTAGTGGACGGTGACACCCCCCCCCCACCCCCACCCCCCACACACACACACAAGAATAATTTACCTTGATTTCATTTGTAACTCCACCACTCCCTTCCTTCCCTTTATCTCTTCCCTCCCTTAACCCTATTTTCCCTCCCTCCACCTCTCCTATCCCTTCCCTTCTATTCCCTCCCTTCTTGGTACATACTATTTCATCATGTTTCTCAGCTGTCATGCTTTAGTTATCGAGGTTTTCCTGCTCCCCTTGTTTATCACACGTTTTCTCCTTTCTCTTGCTTCCTGTGTTGAAGATATTTTTGGATTCTTTCTTACTCATCGTATTCGTCATTTTGCTGTTACCATTGCTTCAGCTTATTTTTTTTATCAGAGCTTTCTTACTATTAATGATCTCTCTCTCTCTCTCTCTCTCTCTCTCTCTCTCTCTCTCTCTCTCTCTCTCTCTCTCACGCAAGCACACACCAAACCTAACCTAACCAGCAATGAACTTGATAATCTTCTATTGGATATTACAAGACAAAACCCATATCAAGATCAGCTAATTGATGGACAGGTGAGGTCAGGATGTTTGGAGGTGCTATTTGGACAGGTGAGGCTAAGGACAGTGTGTGTGTGTGTGTGTGTGTGTGTGTGTGTACATACAGTTTATCACCCACACAAAGGTTCAGGTGGTGTTTACCTTCGCCAGCCAGGTGGGGGCACTAGTAGGCAGGTGGTCCCCTCGTAAACCGGATCAAGCACTAGGGGACGTCTACCTCCTGCCCTGCCCTGCCCTGCCCTGCCCTGCCCTGCCCTGCCCTGCCCTCCTCTCCCTTCCTATGCTTCCTCCCATAGCTCATTCGCTCAGTCATCAATTATTTGGAGCTAAATTTCAGAAAAGGTTTCATTTATGGAGTATAATCAGGTACAAGAATTTGCTTCCTGGTAATGAACTGTTTTCTATTTTCAGGATAAGAGAGAGAGAGAGAGAGAGAGAGAGAGAGAGAGAGAGACTGGCATATACACAGCTACTACTTTGAGCCTCATCACACACACACACACACACACACACACACACACACAAGGTTGTTATCATGTACCAATAAGTATCATTCTGGTTCAGCTAATGGTGGCTGGCCAACACGGTCTAATTTTTTAATTACTAACCAAATCATAATATGTTACGGTTATGTGGAGCTCTTTGTTCTGCCAAATACAGCAACATGCGTCCTTATTCCCTTTCAGCGAAGCACTGCACAGAGAGTGAGGAAGTGTGAACACCTGCGTCAGAATTTCACCGAAAGGAAAGAGTTGTCTTGTACAGAAATTATCTTCAAAAAAAAAAACCAAAAGAGAGAAAACATTTAAACAGTGATGAGGAATAATGACTTATGAGGTCCTCCTCTCACCTAAACACTTCCTTTGGCATAAATAACTTTCTGTAAACAAAGCAAATTCACCCAAAGCAAGAACTGGTCTCAGAATCTCTAAAGTCTAAACATTCCGTCGCTAATTTTTCCCAGAGCTAGATATTTGAGAAATATCTGATTGGCTCATTTAAGTTACTGAGTTGCCAGCCAGTTTCACGTCTAAATTTCACCAAGACCCTGCCTTAAGGAGATACATTTCTCTCATCGTATTTTATTAACGTACGAACTTCTCAGAACCGGATATCCTGCACCGCCAGGAAGGGAGGTACTGCCAGGTCCGGCTGAAGGTGGTTCTGAGAATTAGGTGGCGCCAGGGTGGAGGTTTTTAACTATGTCAACAAATCTGGCCACCTCACCACTTTAACCACAACACCCACCATCAGCACCACTACAGCCCGGCACCACCATCATCCAACACCACTTCAATCCTACATCAGCGTCATCCAACACCACTACCATCGAGCACCACTAACAACGGAACCCCCATCACCTAACAACAGCACCACCACCATTGCCACCCGTCACTAGTCTACCCTCACACATAAGCACCGCCTCTCCCGACGCACCTTCAGTAGTTCCCATCCTCCAGGAGACTCTAGATACTGCACATGATAAGAGTCCTGTAGCCATGAATCTTTCTTGAACAATTCTAGTGTTATCTTTCATTCACTCCTCTCAGTTTCGTCATTGACACTGAAACAGGGAAGTAGAGATGAGTTTATGACGAACCAACATTCGAAGAAAAAATATAATTATTTTTTTATTAGAAATTCTTCATTGTGTGATTTAATTAACTGCTGTCGACGTGTGAATTACCCTTTTATTTGCCTGTTGTCAACCTATGAGCTACCTGTTGTTTACTTGTTAAGACAACTATGCCTTACACTGCTGTCAAACACTTGGACTAGCTCATTACGTCGATCAAAGTGCTTGATAGCTTATTCAGGACAATTTTCACCTTTAATAAAAACAGTCAGAAATAGTCATCAAACGCGTCTTAGTGTGAGTGTACGATGGTGCAGTGAGGAAAATATATCTGGCGGCTTTGGGTAAACAAACAGTGTGAGGAGGAGGAGGTGGTGATGGTTCTCTGGGCGGAGTGAAGCCACGTATGGAGCCTTCGGGTGGTAAAACTACCTAACTTACCGAACAAACTACTCACATGCTCTCTCTCTCTCTCTCTCTCTCTCTCTCTTTCTGTAAATAAAGATGACTTATACTCTTTCCTCCACCACTTTCTCTCACATAAACACTCATTAAACCTCCCCCGATGAGACATCTTCCTTCCTCCCTCCCTCCTTCCCCAAACACACAAAATAAATCCCCCATCCTCCAACAAACAAAATAATCCCTCCCAACACACACACACACACACACAACAATCTCCCTTCTCTCCCCGACAAACACCACAAACCCCCACGCCCCTACACACCCATAAAACATTCACCACCATTCTGGCCCCTCATCTACCACACATTTAATTATACGTGAAGGTAAGTAGAATTTAGATAAAGTTCCCTCTGCCCTGGATCGGTCAGAGTTAAACTAAA